CACACACACACACACACACACACACACACACACACCCCCCCCCCCTTGGTAAAGCCTTCCCATATACACCAACGTGCGTCGGGAGAAGCCAGCGATCATGGCTTTCTGCCACATTTTGTAGGGACGAGGTGAGGAGCAGGTGCACGTCCTCTCACTTCCAATGGTAACCTGGCTGGAATGTAGTGGCGCTAGGTGACACACACACACACACACAAATAAACGCGTTCTCTCTCACACACACACACACACACACATCTAAATCACAGGTAAACAATGTATTTCTCTGGAGGACGGACGGGTCTGGGGAAGAGGAAAGTGAGTTTACTTGAACAGACGCCTGGAGGTTTCAAGGTCCCTCATCGCGTCCCTCATCGGCGGTTCATTCTGACCTTTGACCCCTGCCAGGCGACGTCTACCACGACCTCAGCGGAGACAAGGGTGAGGCACATGAAGAGTGCAAATGGGTGTCTCTTTACAGGTTATGTGTATGTGAAAAGAGCGCATGCATGTCTGAGGTGTCTGCAAGTGCAAAAGTGTGTTTTTTGTGTGATTTTGTACGTGTGTGTTGTGTGTAAAAAGTGCATTCCTCATGTGTTTGCCGTCAACCCGTGAACTCCGTGTGTCCTCAGCAGCCAGAATCACAATAATAAAAGTCTCATATTAGGTCTGTTATCGCGTACGGCCGGTAAGTCTCTGGGGGCCTCAGTCAGTCCGCATTGTCCAGGGTCTACCGAGCTGAAAACTAAAAAGACAAAACGGGGTCCGAATGTCAGAGATTGGAGCCGTCCAGGAGGTGCACCTCCTCCTCGCTGTCGTCCCCTCCTCCCCCCCGGCTGTCCTGGAAGGAGCGGATCAGTTGAACATGATGGACTCGGGATCTAGGTTTGCCATTTGAGCCATGTGACGGAGGATATCTTTTTTTGTGATAATACCAAGAAGCCGCCTGCAGAGGGAGACAAAGGAGGGAGGGAGGAACGAGAGAAAGGAGGAGGGTTAGAGGAGTGAGGAGGTGCCGGTGCTTTGGAGTGAAGGAGAGAAAACATCATGCTTTTGTTGGCAAGTTTTGGTCAAATGGCGAGATTTTTATTGGAATCATAAAATACATTTCTGGACATTGATCGATCGGAAAGCCAACAAAAACACGAGTCTCTGAGGAAACAAAAGTGAGCAGCAGGAGAGGAGGGAGTGAGTAACCAGAAGGAAAAAAGGAGTGAAAGCAGGTCTGAAACAGCACCAAACTACCAGAGGGATGGGTGCCGTTTCACACGCTGCCACAACCGTTCTATGTTATCGGTCCAAAAAGGCTGACAGGAAGGAAAACCTGGATCCTACAAGGAGACAGGAAGTAGTGAACAGGACGTGGAGAAGAGTTAGAACCTCTGAGAAGGAGAAGAGGAGACGACCTCGTCACAGGAGTCAGAAACCTTTGAAGAGGATGGATGTGGAGACGGATATTTCATCTTTAAGGATGTACCACTTTTAATTATATTAGAACTTATCAAATCTGCTACTTTTGTGTTTCTTATGTAACGAGATTTCTGACTCAGGTGACGGAGCCGCCTCCTTCTTCTTCTCCCTCTCCTATAAAGCACATTTACCTGATCGACCCCGCTAACAAAGACCGGGTCTGTATCAGTTACACGTCTCTAAATACTCAACGTTCATCCTGCTGATTCAAGAGCACATCGCAGGCTGCGTAAATGTAAAATGGCTTTGACTTCACCAGCTGTTTAAACAGGATTCTTGTGCTCTTGAACGCAGCTGGAAACGTAGTCTGAGGTCAAGTGAAGAGAAGCGTCTGAAGCTGCTACAGAGCCAGAGGAGAGCAGAGCTGGGTCCAACAAAAAGCTCAGGAGGCTTTGTTTTAATACTGTCATATGTTCATGTGTTGTTCACTAGGCTTTCAGCTTCATTTGAACCCTAAAAACAAGAGAATAAAGTGCAAACAAAGTGAGAAAAGAACCCTTTGAACCCAGGTCTGAGGGAGAGGAGTTGAGATGACCTGTAAGGGGGATTAGAACTACAGCTGCTAGAGCAACAGGAGAAATCAAAAACACACCGGAGAGACGACACACAGATCAGACCCGGGGTGAGATGCTGAGATCTACGACTGTCTCACTTATTTTTAACAAACAGAGAAATAAACAAGAGCAGTCGTAAAGCGCTCAGGATGCCGGGTGCAGATCAGAGTGTGACGGGTCAGCCAGCAGAGTCCAGAGCGGTTTTTATTGTCAAATCCTGGAGAGTGAGCTGTGTTTCAGAATAAATAAGGTAAATCTACTCAAACACCATCTTAGTTTCTTGTTTTTGTAGCTAATTTATGTTTATTTTTTTATGTATTTTAATCCTTTTCACTAATTTGCAATATCTTTTTTATGGGCTTAATTGGCTCGCAAACCTTTGTGTCTGTTGTGTCCCTCGCCTGCAGAGAGCATCAACGTTTCTTATTAGAAGATAAATCTGTTCACTCTCTCTTGAGGAGGACAGGACACGGCTGGTTAAGAGGAAACATTGGCAGGTTAGAGCACGGGATTAGTAATTGCTTCATTAAGGTTATCACTAGCCAGCTCACTACCAGCATTAGTCAACAGGACGTCACTGCACCACAGCGCTCACTACCACTACAGGATGAGAAAAACACGGGAATGAATCGTGTCACTAGAGGTCTGCTCCCTCTCCCTCCCTCCTAGAAACAAAACACCACCCTCTAAAGATAGTAAGACAACGGTGGTCCGCTGGCTACTCGCCAAGTGGGTGTAAAGGCGACGAGTCAGATGCCGTCAATCTGTGGAGAACCAGGGCGAAACGGAGCGGCCGAGAGGGGAGGGCGTTTAAAAACAAAAACAAAAGAAGAAGAAGAAAAAGCAGTCAATAACGAAGGTAGAAAATTGAGGATGAATTCTCAAAATGACATGATCGACTACTGTTGTGAGAGGAAGATGGGGAAACACACAACTGCAGACATGCAAACATCTACTGTTGAGTCTACAGAGGATACATCACAATGACACCACATCTAATGAGAAAAACGAGACGTAGCTCGGTGGACATCTTATTAAAAGGTGCTAGCATGACGCAGCTCACACAACACTAAGCAGCAGAAGCTACAGATGCACTTTAATGGGGATGAGTTGCAAAGCTGCTCTACTCTGCTGAGCCCGTTTCAGACATGGAAGCAGGAACAATGCTAGTAGAGAGCGCTGTCACAACGTTAACGTCAAAGTGTTGAATTGCCGTAACGAGGCACACGTCTGAAAGGGGCTCTGGAGTGATGTGGGTGACAGTTCCCAGAGAGGTCCGACATTGCAGGACCCAGAAAAACACAAGGAAGCACTTCTACATAGGATGACTGGTGAAGACTGCTGCTGGCGATGAAGATGGAGGCCAGAGAGCGTCCATCTACAGATGTTTCTCTACGATGAGCAACTGCATTAGAGGTGAATCCACACCAAACCAACCCATGAACAACAGAGAGCAAACAGCAGGTGAAAGAAGAAAAGGAGGACGGCTAAATGTGTAGCCGGGAACTGTCAACAGTTTCATGCAGCCCTCTTAAGAGGCGGAGCCTACGAGACAGGTGCGAAAGTGTGGGAGGGGTCACATGTGTAAAGGGGTGGGGCTAGTCACCAGGGGCTCCTTGTGCTGCTTGAGCTCCTCCAGATGCTCTAATATATTCTTCTTTGTGATGATGCCCAAAACAATCCTGTAACACACACTCGTTACTCGGTAAACTGCCCAAATAAAAAACAACAAATAAAGGAAAACAACAAACAGAAGAGAGACAGGGAGAGAACAGACAGCAGCAGCACACAAACATACATAACAGGTTGCAACTTAACGTAAATTAAATAGAACTCAAAATTAAAAAATGTAACTCAACTGACACAAAAACAACAAAACTTAGTGTTATAAATGAACTTTGCATGTATAGTGATGGATAGTTTATGACTCATCTATTAAACTAATACGTCTTTAATCTGAAGGTATTATTTTGCAGATTTTCTGGAAAAATTGCACGAAATTTGGATTTACTTAAATGTTAAAAAAATGAGTCTAATGATATTTTTCTTAATGTCAATAAATCACATTACACTAGTAAGTGTCGTCTGTCAATCAAAAACATATATAACTTTTTCTTGGTTTTGGTTGTATAATCAGATTTATTGACAGAAAGTAAAAATATAGAATAACGCACGCTTTATCCTTTAAAATGTTTAAAAAAATAGTTTAACATAAGGACGTAAATGAAAACAAACTGATTGCCACAGCAAACTGAGAGAAGTGATCTGTAAATAAAGAAGAATTGAACACAATCCGTCTTGTAACTCCTACATCTCATCAGCAGGCGCCTTTATCACTTCTCAGAATGAGAGCACACATCGACAGACGTTATTGACTATTGACTTATTCCCCAACGTGACACCTGTTATGTAGTTAGTCTTGGCAGCTCAGTTATTGCTCGGTGTGGGGGGGGGTAAGGGAGGTGCAGCACAGCGGTTAGGCCAGGCCATGCAGATTACAGGGGAAACCCAGGGGTTTTTAGAGCCCATGCAACACCGGTCAGTGTGTACATGTCTGTGCAAAGTCTGTCGAACTCAGACGGGTAAGTCAATCATAACAGCACCGGAAGAAAAAAGGACGCGAGAAGGATTTACCTTCCGTTCTTACAGCACATCCTTCCTCTTTGGACGATTTTAACTTCCTACTTACCCGTTGTGAGTGACCAGACACTGGCGCAGCCCCATCTTTCTGAAGATGTCCACCACGATCTCCATGGGGGTGTGGTCGGTGACCGTGAAGGGACTCATGTCCAGGATGGAGCGCAGCTTGAGGGGCCGGGGGCTGTCGGCCGGCAGGGTGGGCGCGTGCTGGGTGAAGTACACCCTGGAGTTCAACATGATGCCCTCCTGCTTGCGACGAGCATTTTCTGTCGATGAGAAAAGACATCACGATCAAAAGGCTGTCCCTTACCGAGTACCGTTCCTGTGCGGAGAAAGAAGTTCAGTTACCGATAGCGATATTGATGTCCCTGCGCAGAGCGAAGCCCACCAGCCTCTGGGACTCCTTGGACACGATCACAGGGAAACCATTATAACTGGTTTCATTGATGGTGCTCTGCAGCTCCTCCACCGTCAGGTCGTCCTGCGTCAGCACCGCTAACGGCGGGTCGCTGCGTCGAGGCCTCATCACCTCCCTGGCCAGCGTGATGTGCGTGAATTCCTCCTTGGCGTCCAGGAACGGGTACCCGTTCAGACGGATGTGGGCCTCGTAGATCCCCTCGCGGCCAAATGCATCGCCCACCCATTTGCTGGTCATGACGGCGGCCATGAGGGGGACGATGTACTCCAACCCGCCGGTCAGCTCGAAGACGATGACGACCAGGGAGACGGTCATACGGGTCACACCGCCTGAAGAGAGTAAGACCATGAACATGAACACACCTCGACACAAAAAGGAGTCTAAAGAAGAAATTTCACCCTTGTATACACCATCACTTTGTAATCCGCTGACTCACCCAGACATGCCGCGGCCCCCACCATGGCGTAGAGCCCCGGAGTGACGCAGTCGGCTCCCACCTCGCACCACTCTTTGAACATGAACCAGTCGTGGTGATAGTAGGCCAGCTGCTCCACGGCGATGCCGACGATTCGCCCTGCGATCGCCCCGATGGCCATGCTGGGGATGAACAAACCCGACGGTACCTACGGACGAGAAACAGGAAGTGGCATTAGTGTTGATAAAGACATCTGCGGCCCCCCTGTTAGGAAAAAAAACATCCAGGCATCACCTTGAGTCCAAAGGTGAATATGGTCATGATGATTTTAAAGATGAGCGCCAGGCACAGCTGCCAAATGGCGGCGTAGACGCCGGGCCCTGACGGCCGGTTGGGGTTGTCGGTGAAGGCCTTGCTGCCGTTCATCTGGCTGCGGTACTGGCAGAGCTGCGAGGACTCCAGCGGGCCGCAGTCGGTGAACAGCTCCTTTATCAGCTCGCTGGTGTTCTGACGGGTGTACGGGTTCGGGAAAGCAACTATGGCCGTGATGGCCGCCACCAAGATCACCTCCAACACCGGGTACTTGCCTAAAGACACGGACAATGCAACATGTTATAATGTGTGAGGCTGTTAACATGCTGTGCCTTTAACCTGGACCTCCAATCAAATACTTCTGCGAGTGCAAACAGCTGATCTTTCTGACAGCTTCATCATTTCCAATGACTTCCACCTCCAGACCTGAGCTGGCTGACATATCCCCAGTCTGAAATACTTGCCGAAGCGCGTCGACTTGCGCCGCCGGCACCAAGCGATGTTGGCTCGGATGAAGAAGGCGCCCCAGAGGCCTCCGAACACTCCCAGGAGGATGAAAGGGATGAGCTCAAACAGGTACCACGGCGTGTGGTACTCCACGTAGAACAGCACCAGGCGGCTGTTCCCAAACGGGTTGATGGAGCGCAGGACGAAGGCCGCCACCAGGGCGGCGAAGAAGGAGCGCCACAGCGTCTTGAGGGGGAAGTAGTAGCTCACCTGGACGAGAGAGAGAGAGAGAGAGAGAGAGGAGATGATCACTTTAAATCGTCATCCTGCCATTTAGAGTGAGCATTATGTTGTGATTTTGGAGCATGGAGAGAAGCTTGAGTCATTTCTGATCAGTTCAACAGTCGACGTGAAGCGTACCTCCTCCAAGCTGAAGAGCACTCCTCCAATCGGGGCTCCAAAAGCAACGGACACCCCGGCCGCCGACGCAGCCGAGAGAACCTGAGAGAACAAAACAAACGCACCTCAGCTGATGTGATGGGGTTTAAAACACACACATATCTTAATAATGAATACATCAGACAATTTAACGTTGCAGCTAAAAACATCGACTTCAATTTCCTTCTCTCCCACCTCTCGTTTCTTGGCCTCGTTCTTGCTGTACTTGGGGAACAGGTAGGAGAAGATGTTCCCACAGCAGCAGGCCACGTGGACCAGGGGGCCCTCCTTCCCCAGGCTGAGGCCGGACGCCACGGCCAGAACCAGAGTGATGGTCTTGATCAACAGGGTCCACTTGCCCAGGTAGCCCCGGATGATAAACCCACTCAGGATGGTTTTGATCTGCGGAGAGAGGAAGAGGTAAAGATTCAAATTGAAGTCTAGCTACAACGGTAGGTTTGATTTTCCACTCACAAACCTGTCACATCTCCCTGCTGCCCACTGAGTGAACAATTTTAAGCCACTTGACGACATTAAAGGGAAACCCCATACGAATGAAGACACGCCTCGAGGACCCCAGAGAGTGCACGTAACTAATTAGACCGCTTTCACGGAGTCAGCTGCAGAGATTTATAGGCTTTCTATTTCATGTGCTACTTTGCGTTTCTGACACCCAGAGCGAATTGATTGGAACATGAGAAAATGAGAAAACCCGAGAGACGAAACAGAACATCTATAATGTGCACGAGCTCGTTCCCTCACTCTGAAACAGTTGCTTGAAAGCCGACTCTCTTGGATGTTGGAGTTTCCCACAAGAGGTGTAAATAAGGTCCCTGCATGCAGCTGCAAGCGACTTTCAAGTGTACCTGAAAAGGGTTTTTCCTCACCTCAGGGATCCCCGAGCCGCAGGCGTAGGGAGCGAACACCTTGACCAGACAGACAGCCAGGAAGGCGAAGGACAGAGCCCAGTAGGTGTACATGAAGTAGTTCATGATGTACGAGCCGGGGCCCTGCAGAGAGGAGAGGAAGTAGAGGAGTCAACTCCTTGGATCTCATGTAATGTACATTTTACTGTAAACACGTAAACATGGAGGATGTTTTGAGGCTGCGTTAGCGGCGATGATGTCCCTAACGTGTGCCTGTGTTAGTCTACCTCGGCCTGCCCCAGTATTAGCTCAGCCCAGCTCTTCCACTGGGGGCACTTGTCCCGCTCAGCGAAGGTGGTCTCATTGGACGTCCAGCAGCACTGCTCGTGGTTGAACCACATGGCGCTCAGGCACACGCCCTCCTTCAGGTCGTTCAACCAATCGGCAGCAATGTCAATCAGGCCAGCCAAAGCACCTGGCGACGAGGGAACCAGGGAGGAAAGGAGAGGTGAGGAGTTAAAGGCAGGGAGGAAAGGAGGGGTGAGGAGGTGAAGGCAGGGAGGAAAGGAGGGGTGAGGAGGTGAAGGCAGGGAGGAAAGGAGGGGTGAGGAGGTGGAAGAAGAGGAAAAAAAGAGTGCGTTAGCTTGCTATTTATGCTACCATTTTTTTATATGAGCCTGTTATCTGTGAGTATTGTGCCCATTCCCCTCCATTTTAAACCTGGATGTTAGAGAAGCTTTCAAACTAAAACTTTGACTAGCTTGTCCTCACAAAGGTTTTCTGGTGGTCAAATAAACAGAAGTCCTTTGTGTTGATCGTTGCTGCTTTAAGGAGAAAGGAAATGCTTCAGTTTGCGGTTAAACGAGAGCAAAAGACGGAGAGAGAGAGAGAGAGAGAGAGAGAGAGACAGAGACAGAGACAGAGACTGAGCTGCCAGAGGCAAAGCATGAGAGAGTCACCAGCAGAGCAGATACCGGCCGTGTGCTTGTGTTGTTTGTGTGCATGTGTGTGTTACCTGAGGCCAAGCCAGTGAGCGTCACCACCAGCCACCCGGACCAGGCGTCGTACAGGCTCTTTGTGAACTCCCATGCCGAGTCCTTCTTCTTGCTGTTGATCTAAAACACACAGTTAGCAAACAAAAGCTAAATGCAATACATAAACAACACAGAAAATTACATTTATAATCTTAGGATGAGCATTATTAAATGACTTAAGGTGGCAGTAATGCAAGTAGGTCAGAGGTTTTTAACTTCTCCCCAATGATAAACAATTCAGTCATCTACTCCGGTGGCTGCGTTTCTAGTGTTGCTTCAATAAAACGATAAAATTCCTGTAAAGCAGGTAAAACGATGTTTGAGTATTCAAATGACATTCAAATTCTCAGAGCTATCGTTTCCAGGAGAGCGCGCGGGCTGTAACGGTGAGTCAATATTTGGATAAAAGTGTTGACAGAGAGAGGTTGTGGACATGAAGGGCAGGAGGCCGACAGTCTATTTTCTGATTCATCATTCATGAGTTCATGCTGATGAAGACAGAGATGCGAGTGAAAACCAACATTTCTTAATTTTATAGATATTAAATGATGCATCTTTGGATTTTCTGTTGATTGTTGCAGTTTCTGTAGGTTGATTGAACTATTCCCCTTCTCTAAAACCCCTAAACTGCTGATGCTGCATAACTACCCAGTTACCCACCATTTGTGCAACCCAAATAAACTGTTGCTCCACAGGAAGTGTCTCATACATCACTTCCCTGTTCAGCAGAGGATGTTTTTTTCGCCAATATGGCTTTTTTGAACTGTAATAAGGCAGAAGCTACGAGGATACTGGAGAGAGACGAGTATCACTTTCTCCTTTAGACGTGAGAGTCAGAGGACGCGTCGTACACACGAGCTGGTTTGAAGCATACTGAGACCGTTGAGGTTAAATATCTTCAGCCGGGCCTCGGTCTCCTCACCTTCCGGTGCCTCTCGCGGTCCTTGCACTTCTCACGGACCCAGTCGATGGTGTGGAAGTCGTCGTAGGTCCCCACACCCGGGATGGGCTCCTCTAGGAAGTCCAGCAGGTGGGTGGTGCTGCTGGGCGCCCCGCCCCCGTTAGACATGACGTAGTTAGACCCTGAGGAGGAAAGATGAGAGTAAGCTCATGGTATAAAAATGTAGTGCTAACACGATTCAACTCAGTACATGAGAGAAACACTGCAGAGCAAAACCACACAGTCACCGCTGAGAGATAATGACACAGCTCCTCTGAGACAAACCCCGCAACGCCTGCAGTCCTTCCCCTCATCTGGAACGTAACAACGAGGGAGTTGACATTTATCTGCACCGCCACGACATTTGTCTCATTATCGGCTTCTAGGCTGCCAGACAACGTGACTGCCCGTAGTTATTGGGTTAAAGGCAGTTAGTTTAGTAATGACTTCGACATGAGTACGATTAGTCACAGCATAGGCTGCGTATCGCATGCAACAACAAAGCACACAATGTAAACGCTGTCCAGATACGATAAATAGATTATTATCTAACGCTCATAACAACAGCATGAGACACTAAATGTCTCTGGTTGATCGGATCTGGTCCGGCTGGATGGATGCACGGATTCAATAAAAGGGCGAGCAAAACATCAGACTCACATCAGCACACACACACACACACACACACACAATATAACAGAGCGAGGAAAAAGAAGAATTATCTCTGCCTGTTATCCAGAAAACCTCTCAGGATTTGCGTGGCTTTCCTGGCTGCATGATCAGAAAATGTCTTTCATGATGTTATAGCTCCGAGACAACAAAGGGGGATAACCAAAATCTAATCAACTTTAACTTGCACGTTTGATCATTTGACATTTGAAATCCTCCCACTTATGACGACGCAAATATGCGAGACGTCTTTATCTGCAACACAAAGGAAGTTCAGTTGTGTGTAACACGGACAAAAGAGAGACGACAAGAGAGCAACAGTTGGAAAATACTGCATTTGTCCAAAGGATTATGCGACACATCACAACTTGTTGATCCTGTCTGTGCACATTGAGAAATATCAGATTCTTTAATATGAAAACAGATGTAACTACGATGTGTTAACAGAAGCTAAATAGTGACGAACGCTGCTCTGTGAACGCACCGAACAAACCAAGTATCCAGTCGTACAAATATGGTAAAAAGCATCATTTAAAGCTTCTGTTATTTAACATATGTATACCTTAAAGGGGAAATACATGGGCAGTTTATCAATTGGAGGGATCAGACGTCGGCGGATGAGGTACAATTTTGACGTTTACCAAGAGATAGCAGAACATTTACCACAGGAACAAGAGATACGAGCTAGAAACAAATCTTATGTCGCTATGTGAAAGTGTTGAGTTATTCTTAGAACAACTGCAATTTAAATTACCAGAAGACAAACTAATTTGGTTTCCCTAAACAAATATTTCCGGTTCGCTCTTTGAAACCGACCTCAAGCGCTCTTACACGGTTAGTTTGTAACGGTCCATCTCGACTTCATTCGTTTATTCTCTCAATGCCACGCGGTCCGTCACACGTCAGTCCGGCGTGTCGCTGCTGAGTTTTCCAGCATCCTGTGATAAGATACAGATGCTGACAGCAGAGGATGTGACCGAGGGTAGAAATTCTACTATTTTAATCAGACAAAGATAACCGTAGAGTACAAAAAAAAAAAAAGGAACTACTGAATGACTTGTTAGTTTCCTGCCAAAAAGCCACTTAAGCGCAGAGAACGCAAACAAAAAATGGTAAAAGTTAAAATGATAATTTCACTCCCTGCATGTCATTTTGTGACGGGTGTGATCTGAAACAAAAGCACCTCAACGTGCTCACATTCAGCAGCTCTCATTCAGATGTGAATGCAGAAATGTGTCCGAGAGTAACGACACACCGGGATTAATACGAAGTCTTGTTGCCGTTTGAGCAGCAAATGTACACATTCCAGTCCACAATGCATTCATAATCTCCTGAGCATAACTCAGCAGCGAACAAGGCCTCATTCATAGACGTTAACCCTCTGATTTAACATTAAAAATCCCTTAAAACGGATCATACATTGACACCAATGCATCCTCTCCCAGCATCCCTACACTGCAGCTGTTACAACAATACAAAAGCTATTACCATATATAATAAATGAGCTTCGTATCAGATCACATACATCTTAGTTTTCATTGTTTTTATCCTTAATAACTGAGACATAAGCGGAAGATAAACCCCGTTTCCCACACTACGAATGTGGGCCATGACACGGCCTTTGAAAAAGAAAGTGCAGCTTATTAGCTCTCATCGGGGGGGCTTTGATGTCGGAGAGGAGAAATAAGTTCGGTGAGAATTTCCTGAAGACGCAGGGACAAAATGGCAAAGTGTTGCTTTTCATCTGGCCGGCAGATGCGTATCCTGTTCAGAGAGGAGTGTGTGTACGCAACTGTTCTACAGTCAGCAGCAGTGAGAGCGCCAAGCTTGGCAGAGATGTCCAGGGATAGTGTGTGTGTGTGTGTAAGTGAAGGGGGTGCAGGGAAGTCTGATATGGAGGTCTGTATTTTCGGACAGGACTGAGATGTGACCTTTTTTTTTGAACATATCAACAGACAGACTTGGACATCTGCGGGCAAAAATACCCCCCGAACAAACTATTTCAAAGGAAATGTTTACGTGGTTGTAAGACCGACTTTCCTTCGAGTCATCAGTTTGCACATCTGCATAGTAAGCACAAGAGAGGGAGCCGTTTCAGTCCGAATAAACGTACTCCCTTAAGAAATGTGCGACACGTCTTGTGGCTGCTTTGGATTCTGGTTTATTGAGGGAAACACTTATTTATTCATATTTTGTTGCTAGTAGAAAGGACTCCATAGCAGAAGTTTTACTGATATATTAAGCATTTCTTAATGCACATAAATGACAACAGTTGCCTCGCTGGTTGATTCAAAATGAATGCTTGAAGACTTTACGGTCTTGTTGGTGCACCTTTAAGGTGTGTGTAACGAATTCCTTCATGTATGTGACAGATTTCACTCGTTCACTAATAAAAGAATCACTACCCATCATAAAGTGAGCGTCGATGTCGAAAGTGGAACAAACTTGATGGCAAAGCAACAGGATATCCACTAGGAAGCACACTATACAAAAAGTAGAAGCAGAAATGCTGACACAGACACAAAAATATGGTCTGTCAAGTCTGGTGCCAATGAACATATTCGTGCTACAAACTGAGTGCTTGTAATGTATAATTTCATTGGTTTGAATACATTTGTACCTGTAAAAAACACCAGCAGTGTGAGACTGTGAAGACGATACAGCACAACGATAACACTGCAGCTCCACACTGCAGTAACTGCTGCAACATTTTAGGATCAGAATGGCTTATTTAGAAAGGAACATTTTCAGCTTCCAGAAGGAAAAAACGTGGGATTTGATTGATGACATATATATCAGACCATCCTGATGATGCAGCACTACTAGCACCCATCAGGGTGACGCCGAGGAAAACAGAAAACCCCAAAAGCGACTGCGTGCAAGCGCTTTAGCCAGCATCGCGCTACACTGACAGAGAGACACGCGTGTGAAGAAAAGGCTTCGGTTTCTTTCCCATTAGAGCAGCGACGCGGCGATTCTGTTCATCAGGGAGAAAAAGCCACGTCAGTGCACACGCAGGTCAAGAACAGCGCTTCTCTAAATGACGACGACGCAGCCTTCCCGTGTTACTATGATCAATGAGGATGGATTCTGTGTCTAACGGGGTGGAGACATTCCAGGTTTCCAGCGTTCCTTTGTGTTGGGCCTACTCTACTGCTGCTGAGTAAATCTGATCAAAAAAAAAAAAAAGGCAGCTGGCTGGGCCAACCTGGATCAGCCCCGGTTGGAGTTGGGTTAGTCTGCTCAGCAGTCATGTGATCAGCATCATAAACTGACCCCGACAACCCTCCTTACAGGCCGAGAAGCCCCGGTTATAGACCGACGCTGGGCCTGTTGACCAGACTGGTGGAATCAAAGTCTGAAAAAAGCCCACCTGTGTTTGTTTACATACGACGTGTTGGTTTCAGGACACAGTGTTTAAGGTAAATTACCTTAAATTGTACGAACACTATGACGAGGTTTACGGGTTATTAAAGCAGGAAACTGTCACAGAAACATATCTGGGTTATAATAGGTATATATAATGGCGTGGATGTACGGTTGGATGTGGTCCTCTAGTGACGAAGATTTCAAGAAAGGAGAAGATCACAAGCTGGACTGTAAACTACGCACGACGCTGTGCATCTGCAAGGAGAGAGAAGCTTGGATTTAGGGACATCCCTCTGCACAAAGTGGACTCACTAGGGGCCTTTTGTCTCTGCTCGCTCACCGTAAGAAATCTAACAAGGCCTGTAGGAACCTACGCACAGGCAAGTGAAAGAAAACTCCCAGAAGGCCACACGGGAGAGAAAAACAAGGACACACACACACACACACACGGTGCGAGAACTCAGATTTGCCGTCACCCCCGAGGACCTCGTTATGGCAGATGTGATGTAAGGCGATCTCCTGAATCTGGCCAACAGGTGTCCGACTCCTCAACGACACACGGCTACGAACATCCAGTTCCAAAGCCTTGACTGTGCCTCTCTCTCTGTGTGTGTGTGTGTGTGTGTGTGGGAATTAAAATGGATGCCCATGGTGTCTGCCTTCAGTCGCTGCTGCTTACAGGCCCGAGCCTTCACACTCTCTCATTATCTCTGGCTGACGTGCACACGCGTGCGCGTGCACACACACGCG